GTGAATATTCTAAAGCAGAATTTTTGGATCCTGGAATAGTTGCCATGCAGAACTGTAGAATCAATGAGACAACTATCGAATTGTAGGATAAAAGTAACCACATATCCTCTGACATAAACGGGAATAGACTATTTCGGGCCTCCAAGAAGTGAATGTAGAGAAAAGTCCAAAGAAGGATATGTATTTACATATATGTATCACAATCGGATATTTCGAAATTGAAAGTCATATAGAGTTTCAATTGTATTATGAACTATTTTCGACAATTTCTAGGTTTTCCTAATAAAACATAAAAAGCGAAAGAGGAAAAGAAGTTATTTGAATAATATCAATCGGGATGAGCTAATAATGTTTTATTGTATGAAAAAAACGAATGATTTTTCAAACACATTACTTGCCCCTCATATGAAAGGCTATTAGAAACGTATCTTACAAAATTTGAAATGTTCTCAAGGAAGTTTCGAAATCGCGATTCTTTGAACCTTTCCCAGTGAATGTGAAATATTTCTGAATTCCAAGCTTTTGACACACGTTTTATTGGTTTACCATGATTTGGAACCATTGACTTCTAATCACCTGCATTACCATATTCTACAATTTCATGTATTCGACTTTTGATTGAGACTGAACTCGTTGTTGCAGACAAAATGGCGAGTTGCTCAAAGAATTGCCTTTTCTGGAGAAGATGGATCCAAATATCAAGCCTAATGAGAACAAAGAAATGTGTGACATGTGTCACACATTTCTTTGTGTCACATTGTCAACAATGTGATTCCTATCAAATAAGGAAAAATTAGAATCGTTGACGTGAAGACTAGAAGTGGTATAATTTTACAAAGACCAGTACTTATTTTTTTAAAATTGAATTTCTAGAGTAGACAAATAATTTTTCAGTTTTTTTTACATCGGGGATAAGTACATTTTTTGTGGAGTTGAATTTCTGGAGTGGAAAAATAGTTTCAGTTTTGCATTTCTTGAAGTACCCTATAATATGAGACCAGTAATGGGACAACTATCACTAGTCAGATCAGTCCAAATGTGAAACCATTCATCTACTCAGCAATTAAACACTTCGGGCCATTATTGGTTGAAGTAGAACGCAGAATAGAAAAAATATGGGGTGTAATATTCACCTGTCTCCCCATGGGTTGGGTAACCTATCTGGCGCCTCCTCAGGTGGCGGATAGGGGAATGGCCAGTGGACTAGGAGCCCTGCCCGGGAAGCCAATGGTGGCCTCACGGACGGGGTCGCAGGACTTCTGGTCAGTGGCAGAAATAAGTAGGGTGAGGGGAACCGAAATTCTCCAAAAGCCTTTACGAAACATGCAACCATGGACCAGCTCACCTAAGCGAAAGTGTAAGGAATCGTGCCGATAGCTGAATGGCCGCAGGATGATATGCGGTTACGAATCCCCTTGGCGAAACTAACGAAACCTCATTGTAATCAGCCTTCCTCTGGTAATGCGGGGATCTGCCAGAGTGACCAACTCTTCCCCTGCTACTCGTGGAAACACACATGAATGAAATGAACACAAAAACAGACACTGAAACCCTGCTATTCGTGGAAACACACATGAATGAAACGAACACAAAAACAGACACTGAAAAACTGAAAAAACAAAAACCAATCCCGAGGCTGGACAGAATTGCTCACCTCAATCTAAGGCGGTGGCTGGGGATGAACAGAAATGTCCATTCTAATCTACCACTTGAGGCAGATCACCTCGTGATATAATACAAAGGCCAAGACGTGAGCACATTTGCGGCGCCGAGGCCAAAAGGAGAAAGACAGGTTTTCAAAGTAAAAATTTTCCAAAAAAGTTTCAGTTGATTCACTCACCTCAAATTCATTGACATCAAATTACTTTTCACTTGGAGGTGATTCACTCACCTCGAATTAATTGACATCAGATCACTTTCACTGGAAATATTTCTTAGAACTTTCGAAGCATATGAAGGAAGTCACAATAATTTGTGAATTGATAAAGAATAAAACTTCAAGAGTTTTCAAAGCTACATAAAATCGAGTGCCTGAAATCAAACCACCGTCTTCAAAATGGTAACGAAAAGATGATTTTTTTTTTCATTTTTTTAAAGAGTTCCTTTCTCAAACAGTTACGTACATTTACTTTTGGCCATGCAATAAATTCAAGCCGCTGAGTCTGAAAAATGTCATACGGTGGCAACACTGAGAAGCGTAAAAAAACTTTATGGCAACAAAAAGTAATCTCCTTTCATACTTTGACTGTAAGGATGAACGTTATATATGTTGACAACACATCCATCCAAGTGTACAAAGATCGTATATTGGTATTGCTAATATAAAAAATATGATTATCTACCGAACGGTGTATAATTTCATTTTCTAACTTCATGTATGCCTTTGTGTTGGAGCTGTAAATTTTCTTTGACGTCAAAATATTTTTCCTGGTTGAATTATCTTTTCGCTTTCTCTTGTTTCTATCGTGATTCTCTATTCAAACTTGAAGTGCCATTTTTTAATGGGAAAAGGAGAATTTCAGCAACTTACAAATATGTTTTTTTTAATTTCAGTTATGTGTCATGATGAACTAACTAATCACGTTTCTTGATGAAAAGCGATAATAAGTCGTTCAGAATTATTGAAATTATCTCCTTTCGAAATATTTTTTTATATTCTGTTATGTTAAAAAAAATTAAATTCACAGGAACTGTACATAAATTACCAGTACAGCATGGACATATCCTTTTCTAATCTGAAAGTATTGAAGAGCAAGTTTCGTCATTATAATACAGTTTTCGTATTATGGATCATTTTTCAGTTCAACAATTCAGAATATGTTAAACTGTTTTAAGTCGTCTCTGAAGAATTTGTATTGCATGAATTTCTTATTTAGATTTGATATAAAAAAAGGTTTCAATCTAAAAATAGAACAGATTGGAATGGTTCTCAAATCAAAAATCCTCTTTTCAATGATCGAAAAAACTTTTATATTATCGGAATGACGTTAGAGATATGATGATTTATTCGAGAGAAATACTCTTTATTAAGATCTCAGGTATAGTTGAGACACAATGCATAATGACGTAGCACAGATTCATGAAACAAAAAAATAATTTAGAATATTTACGCCATGGTTTCTGAGAAATTATTCAACGATCTGGTCAAGAACCCGAGATGGTTTAGTAATAATGTTGACAAACGGTAATATGCATATTCATACGTAAAATCCCAAGACTACTCCTATTCTCGCAATAAATGAGGTATTACCACAATAACAAACAGAATATATACTTACAGGTACGTTCCAATAAATTCGACTAATGTAGTGGATATTTTCTCAGGCTAGAAAATAAGCATATATAATGCAAAATATAATTATAAAATATTCAAATGAGTAGTTGCACCATTTACTTGTGATGCACTGTTTGGAACATTTGGTGTAGTAATTAATATTACTTTAGTTTTTTCCCGACACCAAACCGTTATTTCAACACCTCGACACGTGTTTTGATCACCACGTGATCATTTTCAAGAGGAATATCAAACAGTTTGATCTTCCTCTTGCAAATGATCACTCGGTGATCGAAACACGTGTCAAGGTGTTAAACAGCTTGGTTCGGAAAGAAAACTCCAGTAATATTCAGTTGCAGTATTGTTTAAAGACTTCTTCGATTCTCACTTCTTCGATTGACGACTTGTTTATTTTGTGGAAATTCATGTTCACCGAGGATACACTACAAAAACACACTTTTGTCTATTTTCCACTATATTTCTTTATTGTTAGTTATTGTAGTTATTGTTAGTGTTAGTATCAATTATGCTGGTAGAATCTCCGAGAATATTGAAAATTACCTCTCAAAATTCAATTTACAAACATCCTACACATCCAACGGAAATTTAGGAAACATATTATTTAATGCCAAACCTAAATTAGAGAAAGGGAAGAGATCGGGTATATATCGAATAGAATGTGGTGAATGCCCCGCCATATATACAGGCCAAACTGGGAGAAATTCTGATACAAGGTACCACGAACATGTCATTTCAGATAAAAAATCATTAATGTACGAACATCTTCAAAATTCGAAACATAAAATAGATAAAGATAATTTAAAGATCCTACACACATGCGAAAAAGGGAAAATGATGAACCTGTTGGAATCTATGGAAATAAACAGGTCAAAGAAAAATCCCAATTTTATTGTCCTCAACGAACAACTTGATTTAAATAATAGTCCTCTCCTGAACCTATAATTCAGATCCCAAAACCTACATTATATTGAAAGCTTTGTTATGTTCATGGATTTTACAGCTATATGAAACGCAGGTACCGGGTATCAGGTATATCAAATCATTTATGATAGAATAAGCAACATAGGTATAAATTACTCAGATTTAAATGTAATCAGTTAGTTTCGAAAATAGTGTAATAGCTGAAACCGGTCAACAATAAAGAAATATAGTGGAAAATAGACAAAAGTGTGTTTGTTTTTGTAGTGTATCCTCATTATTTAAAGAGTCATATAATTTCATTTTCTTTTTGTTTACCTTTCTAGAAAAGCAATCCGAATATGAATCTTCTCCTTTATTGATATTTCAAAAAATTAGAAATCAGAAATGCAGGAATGGATTTCGGGATTTGAAGTTTCGCAATATTTTGGTTATTTTCCCAATGATTTCAGTCGATTCAGTTAGATTCAATATTTGAATGGTTAATTATTCATTTGCTGAATAATCAATAAACTGGATGGAAATATTGTAATATTTTGGTTCAGTTGAAAATGAGTTCCTTTTCCAGTTCAAAATATCATTATTTCTTCTGATAATTTTATTGACAATTCTACACGTTGGTTTCACTTCAATATTACTACTATTGATCAGAAAAACTTTTCGCGTGTCCCCTGTAATCGGGCTCTCTCTGCTGATGCTGTTATGTAGGTCAAGTAATGTTTGACGCATTGAAATATTCTTGTGAACCAATCACGTGATACTTTTACTTTCTTAGGATCCCCTTGGGCATTTATAAGATAGAATGAATCCAACGTGATATTCCACAAGTAACTTTCTAACAATGAAAAGTGTCAGTACACTGGTATTGTTTTGCGTTTTGGCAGTTGTGGCTGCTCAAAATGGATATAATAGTAAATACAATAACGTAGACGTTGATAAAATTTTAAAAAATGATCGGGTGTTGACTAATTACGTCAAGTGTTTGATGGAAGAAGGGCCTTGTACACCTGAGGGGAGGGAATTGAGGAGTAAGTATTATCAAAATATGTTAAAAATTTTGAAATTTATAACTTTATGAGTTCTCCCCCTTTACATTAATTCATCTAAATATGTATCTGGTAACAGGTTACGGATATAGCAACCGTTATTACGATTCTTCATGATGATGTAACCAACTATTGTTTAGAAAGTTGTTATTTCCTTCAAGCCTTTGATGTCAAGTTCATTTTACTTCAGGTTTTCACAGATGACTTTGATTACATATGTTTATATCGAACATTCTGAAGACGAAAATAAATACACTTTTTGTAGAATTTTTTTTCTATAAACTTCTGCATCAAAATATTTTGTTTGTATATTCCTTGTGAAGGCAAGACAACAAACAATAAATTATGTTCGAAATATTTCGAATTTTTTATGTGTTTTTCCGTCGAAAACTTTCCACACCTCACAACAATAAAGAGCTGTGGTTAGCTTTTGGAATTCGAATATATCTTTATTCTATTGAATGTATTTTTATCAATGATATACATTTTTTTTTTCGATTAATTTACTAATGTAACGTCATATTGGCCGTATTGGCGTGAGAGTATCAGTATTTGGTAGTAGTTTTGAGTTTAAAAATGTATCTGGTTTGACAGAACACATTTTCACAAATTTAACACTGTTCATGAACTCAAAAATATTGAATATTTTGCCATATAATTCAATTTCACTTTTTGTCCAATAGCTCAATACACAAAAACCATTTTATTATGATGAAAATGATCATTCTACAGTACCTCGTGTCAATTGACTGGGCAATACTCTGGATTGTGGATATATCATCAAATATCATTAAATAATGATAATAATTAATTTTATCATAACATCTTTGTTAACATTCGTTTCAATATTCGTTTCAGTTTCAGTATTTATTCGAACTTGAAATAATAATCATAAAGAAGATATAATCTAAATCTTTATATGAAACTGAAAACTTATTGAACAGAGTATCTCATAAGTAATGATCCGAACTGAAATATACCTAGTAACTGTTTGTTACTTTGTATAGTTCATGTTCTTCCGATATATGTATAGTTTTTGAGTTCTAGACCATGAACATATTGGTCCCTACTTTTTTGAGGTAGCTCTGATCGGAAACTGTACGATCATAATGTTAAGAGAAACGTCGGGAAAGCACTGAATTTATCATCATAGCGGCTACAAAAATCGTTGAAAAAAACAAGATTCCAATATTAAGAAAATAAAGTTGAAATCTTATGAATGAAACGTCGCATTGCAAATTGGTTTATATCAGATTATAATAACTTACTGTTCAAGAACTCTTTCATCTGGAGAACTGCGTTTATGTGGAATAAACTACCTGAGAACGTTTTTCCAAATGGATTTAATCTTCTGCGATTCAAATCCAATGTGAATCGCTATTTTCGCACAGGCACCGCTCTGAGAACGCCTTTAGGATTTTTCTGTATTGCTTGTGTTTTGTACTAAAAAAAATTAATATAAGACATTTATTTTGCCGTCTTTCAAATCATTCTGCGGTAGAGCCAATAAATGAAATTTGGTAATTTTAGTTTTCGACGAACATTTCAAAAAGAATCACTTATATTCTCGATATTAAAAATGATTAGTCTATTTCTCCAAAATGGGAAACTTTCATCCAATTCAATCGACCTTGTATGTTAATAGTGGGATCAGCTAAAAAAAACGCCTGTATATTAAGTCAATAATTGAAACCAACAATTCTATATTCAATAACGTATCATGATTTATATCTTTTCTCAAAATGTTTGTTTAGTATTCAGATAACCACAACATAATCAATATTGTTTCTTCTACAATTACCGACAAAATTCACAATAAGCTTGCAATTCACTACGTCTTGTCACCTCTCTTTTTCAGATAATAATGGAAGAAGCATATCATTCACGACTGAATGAATTTCTGTATGAAAGGCTACAGATTTTTGACAAAAAAATATTATTCTTCCAAGTCATTACCACAGCTTCAATTCTGAATTATCAGAATTTTATAATTTGATTTCATAGAATTTTTTAAATAGAAATATAAAATTGTGTCGTGGGAACAAATTAAAACAGAAAGTCATTGCCTCCAACTCATTCAGTAATGACAGAAATCAGTAAACCATGTAAATTTACTTCTGAGTAGACTTTCAGTGTATTTTTAAATACCACCACGGAACGAAATCATTTTCAGACATATCAGATCAAAGAAACATCGTAGTCAATTATCCGAAGTGAAAGAGAGTGTGGTTTTTTTCATTGACAAATTAAAAAGTAATAACAAATCAGAAAGGTAATAACAAAAATCGGAAATAAGGGTTGAGAGAAATCAAGACTGTGGAAGGTTATACCCCCAAAAACCATAAGAAACATTGACTCCTCAACAAAAATGTATTTTAAAAGAAAATAATATATTTTCATTTTTTATCTCATGTGTTTACCAATGAAGATATACTAATTGATTTTCCATACGGGCAGCATCCTTACTTATTATTAATATAAATACTCCTGAATACAAAATGTTGTAGACTGCATTATAATTGGACTTGCTTTCCCGAAGTAGCTTTGCTCGAATCAAAAGAGAGTTTCACCACTGAACCGCTACACTGGAAAAATAATTTGAATGAATTATGATGATTTTCTCTTAGATTTTTGATTTGGTGAGAAGTGCTCATGAGAAGCTATAAATATCTTTTACGAATTTTTGCGATAGTATTTTTGTAAAAATTTTTTTTCCATTTCATTTCTGCTCTGATTGTTTTGGAAAATGTATCATTCTCAGCCTAGCATGAAGCCTCAATTTTCCAGTTACTTATGTGAACAGTTCACAAGCTGATATATTCTGAGCCTCCAAACACAACTAGGAATTCGTATGAGTCACTATGGAATTTACATCAGATTCTAGAATTTCAATATATGAACATCTATGAAGAATTGAGTTGTTGACCGAATTTTGAATCAGATAACTTCCCAAAAGGGCCGCTGGTCCAACAATTTCACATTCAAACAGTATTGCTCTTGAAACGATTTTGTTGTCACCAACCAAAGCATATGTTTATTGAAAACATTCGATTCCAAAAATTATACTAAAAAGTATTTGTCTTCAAGTTTCATATTTCATTTTTATTTTTCAAATATTTGTTGAATTTTAAAGAAGAATGTTTTCAAATGAAATGTCTAGAAGAAGATACTCAATATATCAATCAATCAAAATATACTTTATTGACCAAGAATAACAATTCTCATGACAAAGCATACAGTCACCATATTCAAATACCCAGAGTTATTACTAGAATTTCAGTATTACTTTTTTCCAGAAACACTTCCAGATGCTCTGAAGACCGGATGCGATAAGTGCAATCCAAACCAAAGAAGTACAGCAGAAAAGGTTATGAAATATCTAATGACCAAGAGAGCCGGAGACTGGGAGAGACTCACAAAGAAATTTGATCCTCAAGGACTCTACAAGAAAAGATACCAGGAGCAATTGGAGAAGGCAGGCAAATCTGCATGATGGATAATAACATCTGAGTCAATGTCATTATAATTGTAGAGATGTTGGTTGTTACGAATGCTATTATAAAAATAGCTGCATATTGTTTGGCTGTTTCTGAATATTTCAACTGTTATCAAAAACAAAAATGTAAGATCCGTGACAATCGGTAATGCTTTCTAATTTGTTACAAAATGTGATTCATCTTCATTTCTCACATCTGAACTCGGTGAAGAAGTCAGTATTACTTTTAATAATATATGTATTGTTGCATCATCCTCAATATGTTGTACCATACCTCATTGTATATATCTTTCAAACATTTAATGTACTCCTGAGATGTATCGCTCTGTCCACAAATATGTATAATTTTCTCATGAATCATGTGTAAAACTCTCTTATATTCAAACTATAAAATAAAACAATATTTACATGAAGTATGAAAATATGTGAAACTTTATAATTATTGAATTTTCATCAAACACGTTCAGTCACTTCAACTGGCTGTACATTATCATTGGTTTTGTTAAAAAAACTCAGGTCCATTTAAAAATTTAGTGAATTGATAGTTATCAGGAATCATCATAATCAAATTATGAACCCTAAGCAATCCAGCGTATATCAAACTAGTACCGATGGTTAGTTTCCTGTACTTGATATTATAGTAATATACACTGGATATTATAATAATATACACTTGATATTATAATAATATATAATTGATATTATAATAATATACAAACATTTTCCAGACAATATTAAAGTATTATTCGCCAGTGGGAAAAACTTTATCCACTACCTTCATTTCAGTTTCAGTTCATCGTTTTGATCAAGCTCATTACAAAATACCTTATAACATTGTAGTCATAATAAATTTATTGGCATGTTGTTGAACTGGTCGTACAAGTTTCGAAATAATTATTCAAACGCAGAGGAAAAAGTGGCTTTCAAGGAAAACTGACATTACATATAACTTCTTGTTAACTAAATCAACTGAGTACTGATTCAGCTCTCAATAATAACCCTCCAATGAATGGCAGTATAATGATATCGATATATTTTTCATTGAATTATTCACATAACGCAGTACAAAAATTAAATATCTTAGTGCAAATAGAATTATTCATATAACATACATACATTTCAGGTACGGATTCAACAAGAAAACTCAAATATTGATTTCTCCTTGGTAAACTATCGTGATAGTTCTTTCTCACAGCACAACTCTAACACTTTTCTCAACGCGGACTTCATTGATTTAAAGATTTCATGGAAGCCAAAATTAGTAAATCAAATGAGTGTTGAAAAGATTCGCAGCTTTGTTATGTGGAAGTGTTTCGTTGAATTCATTCAAAACATTAAGTTCCAACTGTACAATCATATTGAAATTAATATCATTCACTGATTTTCGTAGAGATATTGGTAAATTTTCGTTTTGAGGGCACCCGGCGATTTTGAAAAAAATTTTGAGTGTACTTACGTATTTTGATGCGTATATTACAAATCCGAAAGAAAAAAGGGGTGCTCTCCCTTACTTACAAAGTTACGGCCCTTCAAAATTCAGAAAAGGGCGACTTTTCAGCCTTCTCTTTTACATAATAAACTATTAAAAACACAAGCATTCATTCACTAGGTTACCTTTACACCTTATTCCTCCTTCTTTGACACTTTTCACTTCAGTAATCAACATTTTTCCAATAAAAATATAAAAAAATGTACGGAGCTGGTTTTTGGTTACATATCTCTGTATTTTACGTTTTTAAGGTTAATGGCAAGGTTGGTACGGCTGATGCAGTAAATATTCCTAAAGTAATTAAAATGTTTTTTACCTTCATTCTTTAGATCGAAAATAGGTTTTTGGTTATGAATTACGAATTTGGAATAGGTAGTAGGCGGCAGCAAATACCAACCGCTTCTTTCTGAACTGTCACTAGTAACTAACCTAGATATAAAAAAATGTCACCAGGAGAAGCATTCGTTTTTAAATTGAGGAGGAATGAGGTGTAAATGTGGCCTAGTGAATAAATGCTTGTATTTTCAAAGAGTTCATTTTGTAAAAAAGATGGCTGAAAAGTGGCCCTTTTCTGAACTTTGAAGGGCCGTAACTTTGTAAATAAGGGAGAGCGCCGCTTTTTCCTTACGAATTCGTAATCTACGCATCAAAATACGTAAGTACAGTCAAAAATTCACCGAGATATTTTTGATAAATTGATTTAGGCTTTCGCGGCCGAGATTTTCATTGTTACGATCTTCATTCGTGTTCGAAGGCCGTCGTGGTTTGGAACTGTATTTCAACGAACATAAAACAGACCGACTTTCTGAAAGAAGCTGATATTTTGACCAACGAATTTTCGACTGAAAATTAGGGTGCTTTTTTGATATCAAGTCAAAATAAGGTGAAACTATAAATATCTTGAANACAAATAAATATCACAAATGTCACAAATAAATGTAGAGTCATGTAACAAAATGAATAAAAACTGAATCATCACATTTACACACATGAACATATTTACAAATATGATTGTATAATATAACTTATACTTGTCAATTTCACAAAAAAACAGGTGTATATGAGACAAAACAAAATATTTGTCAGGTGTATATGGGATAAAACAAAATACTTACACTACACAAAAAGTTTACACAATGAGGAAATAATTTAGATTCCTCATTCCTCCTATTTTCCCTTTGACAGGTCATTTATTTCTATTTATAAACTCATCTATACTATAAAAAGCATTCAGCATCAAATATTTTTTTATTTCATTTTTAAATGAAGATAACGTCATTTCTTTCATAGGCTGAGGAACACAGTTATACAAAATAATACAGTTATAGTATAGAGAGTTTTTGAATGCAGATGTTTTATGCCCAGGTATCGACAATAATTTTTTATGTCGTGTATCGTACATGTGCGTTGTCATCTACCCAACAAAGTTTCCATTGCTTTTTGCTTCTGGTTTTCAACCATTTTTAATTTTCACAATTGACATAATTTATGGACACGGAACCAAAGTAGTGGATCTGTATCTGTAGAGTAGAGAGGGTGAGTGTAAGCCCACGCACTTAGGCCACATGTGACCCATTGTACATCCTCCCAATAAATGTTGGCTCCGTGCCTCTGTTCAAGATTGTTAGATCTTTCTGTATTATATATTCGTATAGTGACTTACCTCGGGCGTTGATATCCTTGCTGCCCCAGCTCACGTGGTCACAGTTAGAGTCGCAACCCAATATGAGCTCCACTCTCTGGTTGAGGCAGTGGTCCACTAGTACTTCCATTTCTCTGGTCGGTGGTAGGATATGCATGAATGTTGTGTCTAACAACAGTATCTTTGTGTAAAGTATGAGGAAGCATTATTCCTCTTACACTCTTTCCTCTTACACTCTTTCGGCTGAGCACGCAGATAATGGATTATGGAGTATGGAAACCTATAATGGATTATAAACCTAGTTTCCATGGAGAAAATATATTTTAAAAATTCAGAAGTATTAAACAGAGGATGTTTTCTCAACCACTTTAATTTGTAACTGATGTTACTACAGTTTCATCCTTAAAATGATTGATTTCATTAGCCTTTATATAAAACCACTGTAGGTAATAACAGAAGTACTTGGCTCAATTGTATTAGCTGAATTTTGTTTATCCGTGACAATGTGGATATGCTAATTTGAAAACCGGTGAGTAAACTAGATCGATTCGATTATTTAACAGGTTGCACCCGCAATTTCATTGCTTGTGAATTTTCAAGGATTTCCAAGGTTGAGTTCGCAACCCTTACTTGAATAGTGTAAAATTTCCGTACCGTTTAGATTCGGCAACTTGTGGTTGCATCCCAAGGAATGGTTTGAAACAGTAGAATCATTTTCACCTAGTCTGAAGGACCTTTCATGTTCAGCATATTGTTTTGAGAAATTTCGAACAAATTGTCCCACATAAACATTATTACACTCCGAACACTACTTAAGCTTATGAACTACAGATTTCTCCAACTTGTCCACCTTATCTTTTGTATTGAAAAAGAAATCAGATAACCTGGCATGTGTATGGTCTGAATGACACTTATACATTGTTTTTTCCGATGAAACCTGCGATTATCTTTGTTTTTCTACAAAAAATATATAAGAGTTACCCATCTCATGATTTCTGATTGATTGATCTGGGGGTATGTTAATCTGTGAGTGAATTTACGGCTTTGTTTCCTGACTAACTTCTAGATTGTGTTTGCGTTGAAACCATTATTATTGCCTATCTAATGTTCGTAGCTAGATTGTTAGCAAAGGTAGTGAGAATGCTCTATGCAACATTGAATTGTAAGCTGCAAATTTATGACTGTTTGGATGGAAATAATTACTTACATTGATTTCAAATTTATTCTGATGGTGTGTAATGGTCGGGTCTAAGAAATATATCTGTGTCTCTATCTTTATTTCGAGTGTGAACTGAATGTTTCTATTGAGATCATTCATGAATGTCATAAATTGGTTCAGCGGTTGTGTAGTAGGTACCTCTGACAATTCAATATTGCAAATAGGATTCTCACTACCTCTGTCTGCTAACAATCTAGCTAGGGAGATTAAAATGATTACACAGATGGGCCATAATAACGGTTTCTATCTAACGTCACTTTCCCTCGATGGTGAGGTCTTTCCATTTGAAACGGATATCTTGGCATTGCCCTTGATAAAAAACTCACCTGGAACGCTCACTTGAAAAAAGTGTTACACAAAGTCAGACTGTTCCTATGGACATGTCGAAATATTTGTGGTAGAATTTGGGGTTTAGGTCCCAAACAAATCCTTTGGATTTATGTGATTGTCAGACCAATGATCACTTATGATGCAATTGCCTGGTGGCCGAAGGCTTCACAGAAGCTCTGGCTTACAGAGACAGGCTTGTCTGACCATCAGTGGTGCCATCAATACCACACTGTCAGCGGCCATGAAAATCTTTCTAGATCTACCTCCTCTCCACATTTTTCTGGAGAGAGAGGCTAGATGGACTGCATATAGGCTTGTGCACATTGCCAATTGCACAAATCAATTCAATGCAGAGTGCAACAGACTATTGGTTGACACTGGAAATCACAGCATTCTGGAAATGACCTCTGAATCCATGCCTCCAACTGTTAACTACGAACTGCCTTATAAAGGTACTGTTTCCGAGTAGACAGGGCTGGATCCTTCACGAGAAGAAAATATTAGGAGCAGATAGTTGTTGACTCACAGATGGATCAAAAAAAACCTTCCGGTTCTGGTGCAGGTGTTTTCAGTCGCAAACTCAGGACAGATATATCAACCTGCCTAGGAACCTATGCGACTGTATTTCAAGCAGAAATTTACGCTATTGAATTGTGTACGGAGAGATTGGAAGGATCCAACCTCATACATGAGTCAATAAAAATATTCTCGGACAGTCCAGCGTTGAAAGCTCTTGGCTCCTACCGAGAAACGTCTGAATTGGTAGCAAATTGCCAAAAATGACTCTCTTCTATAGGAAGACTCAACAGACTGTCTCTGGTTTGTATTCCTGGCCATACTGGCCTGGAAGGAAATGAGGCTGTCGACTCCCTTGCAAAGGAGAATGTTGCAAGCAGCTTCATCGGACTAGAACCTGTCATTAGCATCGCTTTAGGCTTTGCCAAATAAACATTGAACACCTGGATGACAAGAAGATTTATGGACTTCTGGCAGAATCTTCCAGGATTGGCTCACTCTAAGGCGTTTATTCACCCTTTGAAGCTTGATACCAAACAGATATTGGACTACAGTAGGAATGATCTACGATGTCTAATAGGCCTTCTTACAGGTCACTGTCATTTGAATCATCATATGCAGAGACTCGGACTGATGGAAGACAGTGTGTGTCGCCTCTGTTTGGAAAATGATTAAACAGGAGGCACATATTTTGTGCCTGTCCCGCTGGGGAACGAATCAGTTTTTTTTGGGTTCGGCAAACCGTACTCTTACCATCTGACCTGAAAGACCATTGACCTGAGAAACCATGGGTTTCTTCAGAAAAAACGATATACAGGTGGCATTCAGACCACATGCCAGGTAATCTGATTTCCTTTTCAATGACAAAGATACGGTGGACAAGTTGGAGAAATCTGGAGTGTATAAGCTTAAGTAGTGTCCGGAGTGTAATAGTGTTTATGTGGGAGAATGTACTCGAAATTTTTCAATACGGTATGCTGAACATGAAAGATCATTCAAATTACACGTTTTCAAACCATTCCTTGGGATGCAACCACAAGTTCCCGAATCTAAAGGATACGGAAATGTTGCACTATTCAAGGAATGGTTTCAAACTCAATTATTTGGAATCCTTGGAAATTCATAAGCATGAAAATTTCGGGTGCAATCTGTTAAATGATCAAATCGATCTAGTTACAAATTAGCGTATCCACATTGTCGCAGACAAACAAAATTCAGGTACTCAATTAAGCCGAGTAACCTGTTATTACCTACAGTGGTGTTATATAATGGCTAATGTAATCAATCGTTTTAAATATAATGTATACGTTTGAGAATGTCCTTATAAGACGATGCTGCAGCAACGTTACTTAGAAATAGAAGTGATAAAAACATTGAAAGTTTCAATTCTCATTTTTCATGACGATTTTATACCACGTAGTAACAGCTACATATATCTTTTCATCATTTGAGGTTTTTTCAATATAGAAATAGGTTGTGGAGTACCTTCAAGAAAGATTTTTGAATTTCTAATAAACTGATGGAGATGCTGATCACAAAATTCAGTCGAGAACACGAACAGTCCAGTTTTACTTCCAAAAATTATTTTTTTCTTACAAAAATTTTATACCTTCTTGGTATTGTTCCGTGAAAATTAGTTTCATATACAATTGTTATCAGCGCTTGGAATAAAATGGAATCCTTCATGCTTCAATTATGAATAATCAGATACAAAAAACCCCATTTCGACAGATCAATCGATAAGGTGAACAAAATGTATTTTTTGTAATTCTTGACAACAGCCCAGCCTATTAGAAAATTAATTTCTGACGTGTTCGAACATCTGTTTTTGAATTATTGTATCGCAAATTTTTTCAGTAGTCTTTGTTTTTGAGAATACCCCATAAGATATAAATTGATGAAGTGAAATGGGGCGATTTCGCTTACCATTCCAACGCACTTCTCCTTCTTTCATCTATTCGGGAATACTGGGTTTGAATACTCTCTTACAGGTTTCGTTAGGTAAACTCAATTTTTAAAATAACGCTATAAGAAAAAATCTAATGTGGTGAAGTTTGGTGATCCCCCAGATCTATATTTGGGAATACTGTATGTACGTTCTTTCACAGAATAAAATACGTTTGTTATTATAGAAATGAGATATATTCGACTGAAATTTCACATACCTGGTTGGTTCTTATAACAATGCACGATCAATTGAAAACCGTCATTATTCCATTTGGTTGATGCTACAAAATAGCGGGTTGTCATTTTCATAGTAACCACAATTACATGGATTTCAGAAAAGAGTTGAGGACCCAGATAGTTGAAAACTTGAAGCCTTGTAATAATGGTACATTAGGACGTCTCAACCAAAAACACGTAAAATAAAATAATGGTGAAAGATATTTCTGAAACCAAGCTCTCACTGAAGCGTAATATTCATAAGCTAAAGAACTACACGTAAAATAAAATAATGGTGAAAGATATTTCTGAAACCAAGCTCTCACTGAAGCGTAATATTCATAAGCTAAAGAACTGAATTCATGTTCTTTTCAGAATAGAAAAATACCTCTAGTAACAACTGATCATGATTAAGCATGGTACTCAATTTATATTTTATCATTTTTGATATTAAATGAATATTTTTGGTTGAAGCTTGCTGCACAGATTGTTAACAAAATGAAACGTATTTACATGCTTTTGCAAATTTAGTGAAATTATCCAGTACCAACTTCCATGAACATATAATCTCACAAAGACTTCGCAGGTATTTCTCGTTCCTCCAGCAGCAGGATCATGCTGAAATAATTTGAATAGAACACATACATACCGGTTTGAAAGTATAACTTCTCATCAGTTCAGGAAATATCCGACCCAAACAGCAAAAGTACCTGGAACTCTAATAATTTCAACGCGATTCGGCAGAACTTTGAATTCGATGGAAGTACAATATTGAATTATAGTCATACACTATGATATTCTGAAGATAATAGGCATAATTACTTTTTAGCAGTATTAATTCTCTATTTTGAAAAATTAAAGTTCATCTTCAAATAGCTTTACATGTCACTATAACTAGATCAATATATTTTATATCAATTATACCAATCGAGATAATCGAGATAAGTCATTACTTTGAATTGCAGATGTGATAGATTTCCTCTACACATTCATAATCAGATAAGAAACCCTGATATTAACCCATTGTAGAAATTGAAACAACTTGCTACTAACTAAATCAGTCACTATGAAAAAAGAGAAATAAAACTTTCTTTGTTTTTTTATCACTTGTATTTGTAACTAACGTTACTGCAGTTTCATTCTATAAGAACATTTTCGAACTGATATAACAAAAAGTTTATTGTATTAGTTTGAGAATGCAATAAAAAGTTATTGTATTACTTTGAAAATGTCCTTTATGAATACAAGTGATAAAAAACACAGAAAAACATGTTTTATTTCTCGTGATGATTCCCTACCACGTAGTACCGCGTACATCCATTAATCAATCAAATCAGTCACCGTTTGTATCATATGCCGATTAGTTTTGAAATATACTTCCCGACAGTGTTGCTAGCAACTGAAATTTTGGAACATTTCAATAAATCGCAAAATAAGTGAGCTTTATCATCACTCAATTATTCAAAATCATTCATATTATTTTCGAAACTAAAACACAATTTAACTTGATTTATTTCAGCTGTATGTCCTGCAGTTGATGGCAGAAACGCTGTATATATTGCTCATGAAACCAACTGCGCCAAATTTTATCAATGTTCTAATGGTATCCCATATCTGTTCGATTGCCCTGTCGGTTTGGAATTCAACCCAACCTTAAACGTTTGCGATTGGCCATGGGCAGCTGGATGTCAAACTTCGTCTACAAGCGCTCCCACTACAAGTGAACCAGATTCCACAGAAGAACCCGATTCTACAGAAGAACCAGATTCCACAGAAGACCCCAATTCTTCGGATAAATCCTCTGATTCAAGTTCAAGTTCATCGGAGTCTGAGTCTTCATCGTCTTCCGAGAGTGATTCTTCCGAAAATGATTCTGAAGAAATCGTTTCACTGCGATTACAAGCGAAGTGTTCAAATTTGGAAAATGTGTATATGACATCACATCCGAAATATCAAAAAAAATATGTGATTTGTTATTTTGGAGACCCTATTATAAAAGAATGTCCAGCAGATTTTTCTTACGATAGCGATATTCAAATATGTGTCAGAAAAATTATTGATTCTGTCTGATATGGAACTGTATTATTATTATTCAATGAGAAAATTGATGTGAACTAAATATATGAATATGAATAAAACAGAATTACAGTTACTCAAATACTCCGTTTGTTCCTCTTCAAAAAGTTTTATAATTACTGCCATTCCAATCGCTATATGGGCTTGTTATTCAGAATAACAATTTTCATTCATTGGAATAAACCCTAGTGAGTTTATGATAAAATATTATCATTGGATTAAACCCAGGTAAGTATCAGGTCAGATATTATTAATAATTCTTCGAAGCCCTTCGATACCTTAGACTGTTATTACGTGACGGTAAGTTCAAAAATTGATATATGCTCTTCACAGTTTATAATTTATCAGATTCACTATCTTCGATTCGAATTAATTTCCTCATTTCGAAAGGAAACACGTAGTATTTTCATTAAACCACTATAAATAACTGATATTATTTCAAAGGAATCTTTTCAAGCCTCAGATGAAATAAATTTATTGCATTTTTCAGTTTTTGAAGGAATTTGATATGATCTAGAATTTTTCTGAGTTTCATACTGATAAAATAACGAATTAGCAATGTACCTTGTATATGTGTCACACGGTATATCAATTTAATCATTTTCTATATAACCATTTCCACATCCATTGAATGACTTTCTCACAATCTATTGTTTTTATAATGTTAAAGAAATTATTTTTTCATTCCTCTTTTAGATGAATGCAGATCCTTCCAAATCAACGCATCAAGTCTCGGCAGAAATGGATGTGCCACAGACGAGAGTTTGGAGGGAATTCAAAATAAGTGGTTTGAAATGTTAATAGATACATAATTCACAAAAATTACATCCAGGTGATCCTGAGAGAAGGATGGAATTTTGTAGCTGGTTCTCAAATAGGGTTAACCCTATAAACTTATTGAAAAACATTATTTGGACCGACAAAAGTACTTTTTCGAATTGTGGTGTTTCTATAGAAATAATGAGCATATTTGGACTGAAAATAATCTACGGCACTTCAGAAAAGTCAGACCACAAGTTCGGTTTCGTTTGAATGTGTGGGCTGGAATTTATAACGACCGAATACTTGGACATCATTCTTCTCCAATACTTTGAACGGAGAAACCTATCTCTGTTTCTTAAGAAAAGAATTCGAAGAATATATGGATACGTTTCCCCTTGTTTATCAAAACAGCTGCTGGTTTCAGCAGCTGGAGGCTCCTGGAGGTTCCTCCACACAATAAAAGGGAGGTTTGCGAATATTCACACCAAAGATTTCCTAATAGGTGGTTACGAAATTCTGGACCAGTGAGGTGGCCGGCAAGGTTACCTGATCTTACAGTTTTGGATACTTTCTTGTAAGGCACTTCAAAGAACAGAATCTATATGACACAGTGAGTGTCCTTAGAGAAAATATCATCACGCAATTCAGATCAATCAGAAGAAGGAATATTGTTAGGGCTGTTCTTAATTTGAGTCGACGAGCGGTTTATGTATTCAAGACAAGGTCATCATTCCAAACACTTATTATGAAACTTTTTGTGGATTTTTAAAAAGCTCATGATTTCCTTCTAAGTTTTTGAAACGCACCGAACTCAGCCAAGTGTTTGTTCTAGATACCGAATAATGTTCCATCCGGCTGTTGTCTTCCTGGAAATGATTCAAAATAAATGTGTGCTTTGTTCGTACTATTCCTATCAAATTATAAATAAAATTTCAACATATCTCGTTTTTCTCCATTTGAGAAGTTTTCCGTTTGATGAATTCTGACAACTAGTGTTTATTAAACAAAAATTTTCGATGGCGTCGTTACCATCTCAGATGAAGTTGTTTTTTTTAATACCTGTGGGTTCAGAAGAGCAAATCATAACAAATTATACATCAATGAAATCAGAATGGGAAGCACTATTTTTCTGTATAAGAAACAATATGGCGCCCATAATAGAAAATAAAGTTGATGATGATTGCCAGAAGACGAAATGTCGGATAGTAAATCTGAACATGAAAACGTGTAGCTAAAAAAAGGTATCAATGAAAATGTATTTTTGGTTTTCAGGTTTGTTGTCGAATAACATTAGAAAAAAATAAAAAGAAAAACGTCGATTTTCTGTTTTTTTGCGGATATTTCCGAATATATTTGGAATTTCCCAAATTTAAAAACAATATTTTGTTAAGGACAAAAAACGCAACTTTGCACTTATTTAAGCTTCGACGTATCTCCTGTTGTTTAGTAGATTCCACTGGTGGGGGGTCGAATTTCTATTACCTACACTGTATAACAAAATTTCTAAGAAGATAATGATTTGGAAAAAATGATATTTGAATATCATTATTATTATTATTGCTCACTTAATTTTTTCTACCGAATGAAGATATGTATACAACTTTGATACAACTTATAATAAACCACTGTAAATTATTGAGAAAAGTCAATTTTTATATTATAATGATTTACAACAATCATTCGTATATTCGTATCTTACGAGTATATCTGATGTTTCACTATTGATTTCTGAAGCCTATTCCCAAGCTTCATTACCATTTTTCTGTTGCTCGTGACCTCTTTCGACTGAATTTCAGTTTTTGGGTTCTCCCGGAGAGTAAAATGTTTTAATGTGTTTGGATATCTCACATCTATAGAGAAATCGTTTCATGAATCACAAATATATAGTCAACCAAAGTTTCAGCCAAAACTACTGAACAGTATTTTATAGCAATATTCTCAAAAAACGTTCCAGGTGATTCTTCATAATGACATTTTTTTCAATAATTATAAACCTTTTCAAATAAATGGAATACTGAATGTCCAGTGAAAGCAATAGTGAAAACCACTACTGATCAGTTGATCTAATTTTGATGTTAGCGAGCACAAACGCACAGACATAGAAACAAATATTTCAAAAATCAGAGTTCTGTATTCTATCGCGGTATAAAGTCTTTCATCAATAGTTTTTCTTGAATAACTTTTATGTTCACACATAAATCAGTTACACCTTTATCGTTTAAAATGACAAAAACACTGCATCATCGGAAAATTAGTCTTTATCATCTCCTCCTGATGATGATAACTTAGTAAGCGAAACATTTATTAAGAGACAGTGTTTTCGTTCTACTATAGGGAAAGTATTTACTTCAGATACCAGTACGTATCACGCCAGAGGTTTCAATCCAATTAAAATTGTTTTTCATCGCTAAATTCAACCAATCATACACTTTATTAATTTGTGCAGTAGGAAGATATAAAATCACCACATTTCAAAAAAAGATGCAGATCATGTAACTGTACCTACAATTAGCTCCAGATAATAACATCCGTGATGCGGTTGTAACGAGAATATTGATATGTATGGATATTGCATATAGAGCAAGTAATATCTTGGGAAAGTTAGTTAAATATAATAAATACAAAACATCCAAATAAGAAGTATAATAATTTAATTTCTGAACTTTTCCTAAGGTATATGTTGGTCAAACTGGTAGAACATTTAGGAATCGCATACAAGAACATTATATGAGCTATGTAAATGAGAAAACAATTTCAACACATTCGAATCATCTTTTAGGAGAAAATCATATCTTCAACAGATATTTTGAAATTTTACATACAGAAAATAAAGAATCAAAACTCTTGAAAGCAATGAAAATTAATAAATATTCTGTTCTGTTGTATAATTATAGTTGAAGTGAATAGTTTAATTTCGTAACTTGTTCACATTCCAACCCCAAAACAAAATTTTTCTAGATTTTGTATCATCACATTTTTTGCCTGAGTGAGCCTTTACCAAAGAATCGTTTTGGAAAATATACGGAACATTTGGAATAGTTGTTATTCAGACTTTTCATTGTACGACTTTATTAAGATGGCTGCCATCTTGAGCTGGTTTATTTTTCTCAGTATATACTTCATCATGAAAAATGCTTTTTGATTTCAGGAAAAAGAAAGAGGCTGGTTCAGAAAATACTTCATTTCAAGATTTCCACTTAACAGTTTCACAAAAACGCAATACGTGTTTCGCCATACAATGGATTCTTCAGGTCATTTGAAAATATTTTGCCAAAACTCAATAGCAACTTTATTGTTATATTAGACAATGTCGCGTATCATTCTAGGAAACTGGAAAAATTCAAGCTACAGCACCAAGAAAATTTGATATTTAAAACTGGTTGCATTGTAAATGTATCAAATTTGAAGATACATTAATTAAAGTGGAACTTTCGCAATAGTTAATGAGTAGTGCGTAAGTGGGACGGTAGCCTGGTGGGTTGACGTGAGTGGTCAGTTCCACATAGCAATCAATCGCTGTGCGAACCGGTGGTTAAAACCGCATAGCCAGACGATCGATTTTCACTTCCAACCCTTGTGAGGAATCACACTTTAGAAGGTAAGACCTCGTTAGTCCTTAGCTCGCACAAGTTTTGACTTTTGAGAGTTGTCGCTCGTAAGGGGGGGGCGGCAGCTGCTTAAAAAAAAAAACAGGTTTCAACAGATTTTTCAACAGACATGAAAAAATATATTATCGATGGAATGGCTTCAGTTCAAAATGAAATTGCTTTTAGACTACCACCATATCACAGCGGCCTTAATCCCATTGAGTTAATTTGGCTGATATAAAAAAATTTAGTTGCGGAGCATAATACTAAATTTAAATTTGCTGACATGAAAAACATCCCTCAATATGCGATAGCTACCATCACATCAGAAAAGTGGAGAAAAATGCGCTAATCACTTGCATCAAAAAGGAAGTAAAAAATGTGGCACCAGTCATTCAAAGTGTTCAACTGCTATTGCAATCTAGTACAGTCATCTATATCGATAAGAGAGGTGTATAACTTCAAATCATATGCAAACATTAATATATTGCAGTATAATGTGTTGCATAAATCATTTATGAAAAGTGAAAGAAGTAAAGCTCTAAGGTTAGTGGCAGAATAAATATTTGAAGAGGAATCATTATAGTAGACAGATACGAATATAGATTTCATTGAAACCCATACCAAAAAGTTTATAAATGAGAATCGCCTGACTAATTTCATCGAAAGCTTTCGAGAATTATGTGTATAACACATTAACCTGCTCCT